CTAAATCTATATCTATACATATATACATATCTATAAATATAGTATATATAATTCTATTTATATTTATATATATGTATATACATATATATATATATGTGTGTGTGTGTGTGTGTGTGTGTGTGTGTACATACATACATACATACATACATATAGATAGATAGATATCTATAGATATATAGATATATATATATATTCGAATGTTTACATACATATATGGATGAACTATGGAGTAGATCCAGATGATTTTTATCGTCATCGTGTGATCACAGATTAGAATATTACTCTAATCTATGATCTCACCGAGGAAGTTAAACAATCATCTGTCCTACTCCCAGTTCTTTTCATAGACAACCAAGGTTAACTATAAAAAGACGATAGATAGGGTACTGTCCATCATCTATTATTCCTTCTACTTTAGAAGTGTTGGCTCTCCTTCGCAAAATGTACACCATTGTATCACCATGAATAACGAACAGAATATCCAGGCTGCACAGCAACGACTAGAAGCACTACTACAACAACTAGACCAACGTGAACAAGCACTTCGTGAACATCAGCAACGAGACGAGCGTAAACAGCCTGATCCCCGGGCAGAGGTGGATGCCATACGACTGGAGATCGAAAAGCGAGGATACGCCGTACCCGGACCTGGTCGTGGATCCCTATTCAAACTCCGAGTGGAGATACCAGGAGTATCTGCCTCGGATCACATCAATAACACCCTTCAGAATCCAGCGTTATCAGAAAGCGATTGGAGCACGGGAACGGCATTAGAAACCAATACTGGGATCTGGTGTCGAGACAATATCCGGTACAAGGAAGGCCTCAGTGACGCCCCCACCCAAACACCCGATTGGTACAAGGGACAACGCCCCGCCGTCATCAAAGAACTTGATAACATAATCAACTGGGCAATTTTTTTTAGCCCACGGATTAAGACAAATTCATCTAAGAGGCCTGACAGCCGATCACCGCGAAGAAGCTTACAACGGCCTCATCTTGGCTCTTATTTGCGATTTCGGTCAAGTGGTAGAACTCAAGGAACTTCGCGTTCGAAAGGGAGCCGATTTCGCATCACTGGTTGAATGCCAATCTCGCCAACAACATCACAACACGTCCGCTATTGCCAAATACGTAAAACAATCAACAAAACGTCAGCACGAAATCGACTTAGCTCGCGCAGGTAAGGAAGGTACGGAAGCAGACAAAGCCTATATATATATATATATACGTATATACGTATATATATATATATNAATGTGAATATATATATATATATATATACTCTATC